TTTACGCTGATCGCATTTATAAAAGTGGCATCTCAGTTCTCGGTGCCATGCGTTACTGTAATGAAATCATGGATATCTCAATGGTCCTCTTCAACTCGTCATAAAATTACTTGCAAGTATTAGTACCAAAAGCAACCCTAAACGAACTGCATCCCTGTCCTGCTCGTTTATTGATTGCACATTCGACTGCATATAAATATCCGTTAGTCCGATGTGTCCATCGGTATCCTCATATTGCAGCTAGTGTATTCGAGACGTCTACAGAAATAAGGTCGTTTTGAGCAACGAATGCACCATCATTTTATGTACGACCAAATCAAAGAACTGGTATTATGGATAACCTAGACATGATTTTATCAGCAGGTCTGAAGTGTTTAGGCTGCAAAACCCTTGCTCACAAAAGACTGATTGTTAATTACTGTTGAAAAACTTTCGTTCAATCATCCACCTTACATGTTTGCCTCTAATATCGTCCTTTTCCTCCATTAAAAAGACCTTAATTTTGGTGTTAATTTAGTTTTTAGCGAGACGTTTGTGCGCTGACATTTTTATGTGGGCAGAGAGAAATCTCAAAGAAGAAATTCCATTTCAACTTTTGATCAAACACTTTACTTACATTACTGTATATAAAAAGGAATCACTTCCGACGCTGCGTTATGAAAACAGGATTTAAGCTGATTCGTAATAAGTCTAAGCAACAAGAACCGCAGTCGATTAGAAGGCGTATAATTGCAATTGTCAGACAATTCCACCTATTGCGCCGCAGGGAATAAACCTTTATTTACGATAGCTCCGCTTGCCTGCACGCGGTAAATACGACAATCAGGAAGAAAATTTTGCTATTTTGACCTTTCTTTGGACTGTTGCACTTGCCAAGTAATCTACTTGACGCAAACGATTAACAGAAATAGTGACCACCTGGCATCTTTAAATTTTGCTAACAAGGGCTTAATTGCCATAGGACGCTTTTTCTTAAAAAACGGATACTTCAATAGTTGGCTGGTTTTAAAAACCATAGGTAAACGTAATTCGGAGACAAATCTGGCAGAAAAAATCATGCACCTCACTCCAGTTTCTTCGACAAAACATGTCGACGGCCTGCTGGACTTGTTTTCTGGTTAAATTTGAACCTCCGGTCGGAAATTTGTAGAAATGGATTGGGTAGTAAAAACCTGAGAAAGCCTATAAATGTATCGAAAAACGAATCAAACATAGGCGGCAGATCTTACGATATATTATTTGATAGGTGTCAGTCCTCTAAGATTACGTGTTATAAAAGAAATAACCGCAAAGTGATAGTTCTTGATCTGCTCTCTCTTCATTAATTATGTAAAAAAATAAATTCAAAACATCAATATTACTAACAGTGCCAAAATGAAAGATGCGTATTCTAGTTAAGCTAACATGGATTAAGTCATTTTGACACTCGGAAATATGCAGTATCTTAAAAGTCACTATGTTAGAGACACCAGTGCGTCGTCCGTCGCAATCACCGACAAACAGTTTCATTGAATTGCCTATGGGATTAGATCGATAATTTGAATGTTCTGATGTAGCGCGATGTGGCATGGTGTGTTCGAAGATATGCTGCGATTTTCTTCCTATCGGAAATTATGCATTGAAAGAGAACGAATTTCGGATCCTTCTGCCATTTGCCATATTAAGATTAATATTGATACTAGGGGCTTAGTGTGACCGATGTCGATTTGGTCAGTGTGAGCGTCGCGCAGGTTTGGCAGTTTGGAAGTGGAAATGAGGCAGACAAATGGGTTTACTGAATGTTTTTTAGGCAACCTGTCTAGGCTTAAGTTGCAACCGTTTCAGTCATTGTATTTTACGCTAGACCCGCCAACGATGTAGGAGTAGGTTAAGCAACTCGGTCTGCCATTAGCTATAATATGCTATCGGCTAACTTCAGAGACTAGAGAGCTGTGAGCTGTGAGATAGGGATAAATGCAAGAGTAATTGTTGACTGCTCCAAGGCAGACATCAGTGTCCGGTTGGAGTAATTTCGGCCAAGGAATTCCTTCCAAAGGAGGAACACAATAATGTGGTTAGACAAGATTTAAAATATGATTCGACATAGTGTCGAAATTGTCGTATTTATTATCAGTGCGTCTGCTACAATGCATACGAATTGGTTTAACAAATCTAAAGTGAATCTTCTACATGCATAGGTAGCATAAATCGGCGAGGAATGATTGGACGTTGACAACTTCCTTGGTACCTCATTCTTGCGTTCCTGCAAATCATTCTTAGTAGACGATTGACCGTTAAGTTTAAAAATTCATTTGTTAGTTGATCGTGATTTCTCCAGACTTTTTAGAAGATACGTGTGGTCAACTAAACAAGAACTCTGCGGAAGGATGTTTCTATTAGGTTGTGGTATAGAAGCAATTCTAAAGTTAGATATTTCCTGTTAAATGCACATGCTTACGAACGCCTCCGAATATTCGTTTTAAATTTGGCATAATTCATCCAGCTATCGGTTTTCGCCTGCAGTTTACTTTCTATTTACTTTGTTTTTCTATTTTTCTCAAACATGCGGGCTTTAGCTTTGACAGGACACGTTGTACTAACGCGTTTACAGATGGTGTTATCACTTATGTACTCATTTTTTCTACCCTAGTTACTGACACTTCGAAATTTAACAAAAACAGATTTTAATCGACGCTTACAAAAAACTTTCCACGAAGTGATGGCTGAGATACGTTCATGAAGGAGCAGCTTTTGTGGGTGCAAGCCTTTGAAGGGAAAAGTCTAGCAACCTCCTTGCGACATTCAGTAGGTTGTCCGGTGCCCAAAATTGTCACTGTCCGTGGTAAGTCCTATAATGATGTTTAATAATTAAAAAAAGGCCAAACCTTTATAACAGATATCAGTTTGCATAAACATTAGCTAAACAGCAGCTGACTATCTCAATTTAAAATGACAAACCTGGTCAACTTTATATTATTTCCTCCACGGCGCCATGCCAAGAGAGCTTTCACAATGATTAGAAGGATACCTACTCTTGTCTTTCCAAGACAGTTACCCTAGATCGTTGTTGTGGTTTATTTACAGCTCAGCCTGTCGATATGTCTCCAATTTACTCATCCTTCTAAGAGAATCGGAGAGCTACATTCGGACCCCCTTTCTCCATGAGTAAACCACAATCTACGATGCCCAGTTTATAGTTGAGGAATTTATTAATTCCAAATCCTCCTTCCTTCGAGAGCATAAGAGGTTTGTCCTGACCCGAAGAGACCGCTCATTTTGCGCACTTAAAAAGCGAGCTGCTTTGCAGTACGATAGCTCTGATCAGCTGGAAAACTGGAAGTCCAACAAGCAAAAATAAACAAGCCTTCTAATAGGTCACCGCAATTTGAGGTATCTAGTTTTATTGTGCATCTGGACGTGGTTGGTTTTGTACTTCTAGATATAAGTACACGATACCGCATTCACTAAAACAGCTTATATCCAAGGACAGGGAAAGAGTTGCAGTGTTTAAAAAACACACGTACCTCTGGAGGGACGATTTCGAGTCCTGTTAATTCCTCCGCAAACTGTGTCGCGACACATGGTGGTGCGAATATGTCACTCGTATCAATTTCCATCTGATAACCAGCAAGGTGGCAGGCGCTTTTTACCGTGCCCTATGCGGTCAAATAACAGAATTATTCAAGGTACTGCTAGACAATCTGTTGGAAACAGCAGTGGCATTCCAGCCGGGTGGGAAGTATAGAAGACTGATTATCCGTTCCTTTGTCGTTTTGTTGGGCACGTAACCTACTAGTTATCATGCTGAAAAGGCAACAATTTTATGCCGTAATAATATCTGTCTTAGTGTTGCGAAAATTCCCATTGAAGAAGTTAAAAGGTAATTTGTCCAGCATACATTAGATTTCAAAAAATTCCCCTCACGCCTGAAGACAATTTATCAAAAGCTAACGCATGCTCGCCAAATTGGATTTTTATGTCTGCTTTTTGCTAGTTTTGGGATAATGTGTCTCTAGAAACTTATGGATGACGTGCGCGATTCATCCAGACTACACCTTCCTAAATTTCGCTTAAATAATTCCCGAAGCTTAAACGATAAACCAGTTCACAAATACTTCCAGTGCCGAAATGTGCATGGTCTTAACCGGAACTTCCCTCATAATTTCTATTATTCTCGTTATTTCTCTGAATTTCCTGTTCAGCAGGAAATGTAGAAGTGACTCGATTTTGTTGTTTTTACCTTCAACGGGAATCGAAGCACTCGAGTTTCCCAATTTTTAGTATAAATAATAAGTCCAAACCTATTCCTCACATGCGCTTCTATACGTTTGACTACTGTGACGACCATAAGGCTTTATTTGACTTAATATTTTATACGAGTGAATTTAAAGCACCAATCTTAGGTCCACTGCACTTACTAAAATTCCTCTCGAAAGAGGGCGGCAAACGTAGTTGGTAGTTTATTTAGATATGAAGATTTGAGAGGTCCACTTGCAAAAAATGCAGAGGTCTAGATGATCAACTTTTCGCTTCAAAATAATCTGCCTGAAGTCCAACTAGTGAGCAAACACACTACAGCTGTCGACCAAACACGACAAATCCTCTGGTCGTTTGATTATTGTGAAGTACAAAGACGCAGATTTATCTTAATAAATAAAATTATCCTTTGACCTGTGCTTATACTTAAGACAGGGAATGTATCTTTGTATTATTCACTTACCTGACTTAGTATAAGAGACTGGAAGTCAGTCTACGGACCAGGATTCGTACTGAATTTCCAGTTAAAATTAATATTCCGAGTAAATTTGTAATTTAAAATCAGAATTCATGTGCCTCGCCTTCGTTGGCATTGGTTTGACGAGGGATACATTCTAAATGCAGAGTGTTACTCTCACTTCCGAAAAGCCAATCAGGATAAATAGTTAAATAAGCCTGAGGGAGTTGCAGATTTGAAGCTACATTGAACAGCTACAGTTTCATTCCTGTCGGATTCTATTTATATCTTAAAATACCGTTCCTCAGAACAGCAGTTTAAATCAAAAATTACCGATGAAACATTGACCGTCAAGGCGATCCGCCACGCTAAATATCGTCTTGTAAAGGCTTCTTTTCCAAAACACAGAAAACTGTAACTGTAAACGTCGTAGGTTGCGCCAAACAAATTGATGGACGAAATGTGTGGCGACGGACGTCCTTTCTCCGGAACGAATGCAATCTGCGTACTGGCGCCACCGAGATCAAGCATTCCACTCATTTTGTCTCCGCTCTCTGGTGACAATCCTGAAGGCTGTATCAAAAAGGTTTTTTCCGTTTAAAACAACTTGTACAGGGGTGGAACTCATTAAACTCAGCTTCATGTGTGTTTGATCGAAAAGAGGTGTTTTGATTGGAGTAAGACTCATTTGGTAGTCGAAAAAATCTTAAGAAAATTTATTATTTATTTGATTAGAAATACAGCAAAATCGTGGATCCTCATGTACCTTCGGAAGGCCCCACTTTTGGAAATTCGTCAAAACTATCACTTTTCACTCGGACCGCGTAGGGAACAGCTGCATGCTCAATAAAAAAATTCGTAATGCATTTTGGCGTGTGTGTATCTTTTTAATTGAAAACGGTTACTCGTTTAATTAAGTCTCTCGAACTATATATTTCCATGACAGAAGTTAATATAAAGTTGGGTTATAATCACATAAATATTGAAACCAAGCACTTTTAATCTGCCATAAAACGGTCCATATGCAGCTTTAGTAAACGTATACCAAAATGTGCAAACTGCATGTTGTCCTTTTAATTTTACATTTGTATAATTAACATTGATATTGCGCATTTCCTCTAAGATAGGTCATCCTTTTGTGTAATCACCTAACTCATTGAGAACAGACTTCTGAGACACTTAATGATATGGAATCAGTCCATTTAAAAGATATTATTACAGGTCAGTTCTACGCAAATAACTTGACTATAGTTCAAGGTTTTATAATCTAAGGACCTTACAGTTTATTTCGCAGGCAAAATAATGGAGATTTTGGTAAAACTCCCACAGTAGTACAATAAAACTATGGCGTCTTAGCATATTGCCTGCCATCGTCCTGTTTCACTCACTGATTTGATACATTTTTCTCCATGAATTTTGGGATAACAGACACACGGTAAAGTCCTTTCTAATTGAGATGTTTTTAAGATTAATTAAAAACACTTACGTCGCCTAACTTTCGATCCAGATAGTTTGCAGCAACCCATCCGTAGCGTCCCTCCGTACTGCCACTAATTATCCGAATATCCGAAAAGACATTATGCACTACTGCACCGATGTTAGGCAAAGTTTGACGCAAACTTTCCATGATTTCAGCAGACTTCAACGGATTGTTTAGGCTAGGCAAAGAAGTGCAAGTAAAATATTCATTCTCTTGACAAGTTCATCAATAGTAATAAGGATCAGTCTCTGTGGGCGGATTATGTTTGTCTTATTTGCTGCCGGTGACCACCAACCCGTGGCTGTCTTATGATATGGAAAATGTTTCTGAAGCACCAAGTTCTGCTATGGACGTAAAACCTTTGTTCTGCCTAGGATACTCGTTACTACAGGGGCAAATGTGACGATACCTGAGTAAAAGTTGCTTTTAGCAGAAGTAAATTTGGCAACATTAACATAAATTTGAAAATTGTCAATTTTCTAAAAGGTTTATGCTTGTTTTTGCATGAGAATGCCCACAATGTATCTTAACTGTAAATTAGACAACAACAATTAATAAAACTTAAATACTAATAAATGGAGAACGCTTTAATTTAGACAGCATCCTGTCTATGTGCCAATAAAACTGTCATATCAGGCAACGTTTACAATTTCTCACTCTAGCAATCGCATTCCTGCAGTTGCTGCAAGATAAAGCGACGTTTTTGAGCCCTCAAGCGCAGGTACATTGTACTCAAGGGTTTGTTTTAGGATTGGAACCAGCCTGTCTGAAGCTTCTTTAGGATCTTCTGCGTATGCCGATATACCGGGCTCTATGATAAAGAAGAAGCAGTCATTATAATATACAGCAGACAACACTTTGACTAATTATATCGTTTTTAACTTAAATAAAACTTCGTACAGTGTTTAAAAACTTCCATGGACTGCATGTTTTCTGTGGCGTAATTTACATAAATATTTTAAAGATGGACTTTATTTCAAAAACGGTCATATATTTCCGTATAGTTTTACTGCAGAACTATTGTTGAGTAATGAAGAAGATATGTCGCCATCCCAGGATATGGAAAGTTTGCCAACTAAAAATGATTTAAGGACAAAGAAAACAGGGCTAATAAAATTATGTATTTTGTGTTTGCGGTCGTTCTCATTTAGCGTGCTGGAAGAAGCAGTATTTGCTGACATCTGCAGTCAAATAAATGTATGTTCACAATGCCAACATATGGTTTCGCTTTAGGCTCCAAAGTGATATGTTAGTTGCTTGGAAAAGTTGTATAAGTACCTTTATTGTTTTGCTTGCCGCTGCGTATGCGTGCTTTTCTTTTACGAATTCTGATAGGAAAAAGCTATCTACTTCAGAATCAAAATACAACCACAAAGCGCTTACCAACTATTGTATGGTTTATTTCCTCAACCCATTCGTTTGTGCGGAAAGGCCAATCCCGCCATGTTATAACTGATATTTTGGATGACGTTGATCCAGCATCGACAATAACCGCAAACTAAAATGAGCATTTCTATTTTAACAATTTCGCCATAAAAACTGAATGTGACTGCTTTTTATCTCCAAATTTTTAAAATCAGTGGTGATATATGGAATTTCTTACGGAATATTATTATAAGGTTTTTAATAAAACATGCTTTAAAAGTCGGTCAAAATGAAGTAAGCATTGTGGATATTTACCATTTTAAATGTTATTTTAATATTTGAGACCCTTGGGACAAAACACATGCTTACTGTTTGCCTGCCGTTTCCACTGATAAAGAATAAACCGACGATTGCAAGAATTCCGCCCGTTAATACAATCCACAGAACAAATAAGAGAAATTTATGACACTGTTTGAAATTAGGCATCGAATAGCCTTCGACTGATTGGATAGTCCAGGATTTTTCATCGTTTGGATTTCTAGAATGGCAAAATAAATGCATCTGTCATCCAAAAGCCGAAAAAGAACAAGTAGTCATTAAATTTTTAAAGCGTGTTTAATCTTTAATAATAACATAAACAGGAAATGTGCCAATTTTGGACACTTTATAGTAGCACTATATTTAAGGTAGAACTTTCAGTCCTTTGCCTACCCCTGATTAACTTAACTTTCCCTTACGATAATTAATTTTTCGAATTGCCTTTATTCTAACGGACCCAGAAGCCGGACCTTGGGTATCAACGCTTATGCCTTATGCTGTCTGATCTACAGGTCTTGCCATGTTAAATATCATTTCGTCAAACAAAAAGTCTCGCGTATACAACCAACCTAAGAAAAGGTCTCTCGCTGTAATTTACGCCTTGGTCTAACTTAACGTATTAGGTTTTTAGTATTTGTTCAGAAAGCGTATATACGCTTTCCTTTATAATATTATAAAGGAAAGTTTATACGCGTGTATGTCCGCCCAAAAACCAATTTTATGATGTCGAAGTATACAACAAGTGGTCGAAACATTTTGGCAAACAGCAGAATACTTTTGGCTGGCTAATTGCGTCTTTTTAGAATATAGGTTGACTTAAGAAACCCATTTGAATTTTTGCATATATAAATTCACATAGCATGCGTTTTTGAATAAAAGAACGATATTTCTATCACACTGAATGTTAGGGCACATTAGATGTCCAAACGTGAATTTTTGCTTTCTGTATGCAGCTTATGATTATGCGCGGAATTTGGTAGGTACGCACGAGGATTCCAACTTGGTCATTTAATTTTTGTTCGGTAAATGAAATTCCGCCAGTCAAATTGGGCATTTTATCAAGCACAAAATGCGGCATGGACAGACAAATATTTGGGCCTTATTAGAATTGCAGTTTGGCAAAGTTTGCTTTACGTACTGGTAGAAAAAACAAAAAAAAATTTTGTGTTGTATACATGTATACGTTTACATGTATACAACACAAAATTTTCTTTTTGTTAATAACCGCCCTGCATTTATCACACAAATGTCCGGGAGCTATTTGAATAGCTCCAGCCCCCTCATAGCCCCCTCTGGCCCCGCCATAGCCCCGTCATGAGGCGGGACCGTGAGGGGGCCAGAGGGGGCTTGTGCTGGCAGGGTCAAGAGAGAGAAAGCAAAGCTCACTGCAATGAAAACGCCGCAATATAACCCGACGATTCGAAAGAAACCGTGAAACATTTGAATACTTATGTACTCAACTACTGGTTTATATCCCGAAAATATCTTATTTCTCAGGAACCAAGTTCTTAACTTTTAATCGCAGTCAGCATACTGTGCACGCAGGGCGTTGGTTGGTAATAACAACTTCAAAGTGTACTTTTCTCCTGAAAAAAATCACTCAAAATGATAAATGTCCTCTCTAAATGAGAAGCCAGTCAGATGTCTGAAAGCTAAATTGGGTTACTAATGTTTTTAAGTATTGATCCATTATTTAAAGTGTCGACCTTTACTGTAGTAAATTCTCAAGGCCAGGTAAATTCAAGTTGATCTACAACGCCAAAGTCGGAGGTCTACTTAAATTTGTCTGAGTAGGGCTCTTCAGATGTCGGCAGCTCTCGTACTTTTTCCAACGACTCTCCAGGACCGACGGAGTCGGAGCCAGTTTTAATCACACTTACACCCAATTCGTCAACGACTATAGCCGGCTATAGTGGAAAATTACATCTTTGATGTAAAGTTTGCTGATTAGACTTAAACGCACAGACAGCCAAAGATGAAGCATTTGTCAATTCGTTAGTATCTTTGTAACCGTCCACTTGTGATATTCAGTCGGTAGATCCGTCCAAATTCCTCTCTGGTACGCCGCCAGATCCTTGTGACAGATCGGCAGGTCCTCGCCCAACCGCGGTTACTTCAAAATTCGAGGAAATAAATGATGCAAAACCAACAATATGGAAAGTATGTGCAAAATATTCAAGCAGTTGTTTGTCCGGGGATCTGCGCTTTAAAGACCAAAGAACTGAGCTGCGTGAAAATTCAGAAAAAAAGCATAATTGGATGCCTCTGTTTGAGGAAATTAAAGGACAACTGGCAAATGATTGTCAAAAAATATCGCGCAGAAAATTGAGAAGGTGGGTGAGGCGTCATCATTCAGCAATAAACACAATTTGAAACGAAACACTACAACAACTAAACATCGTGTGAACGTGGATATCAGACGAAATGGTGATTTAAGGACTTCAAAATGAGAAGGGTAGGAGAATGAGCAAAAACATGAAGGGGAACGTTTTTCGGAGAGTATATCCTCTGATATTGGATCTTCTTGACATGAGGACTAAGTAAAACTGAATTGACGGAGATATTGCCCAGTCCAATGGGTCATTCGTCCATTATTGTAGTTCGTCTGACCGATAATACAATAAGATGATGCAGATGGTAGGTTCCTTGTGTATATAACTCCGTAGAAACTATCGCATAAGTTGACTATTTGCCACTATATTATTTCTTAGGTTTGGGGTGCAGTAAACCACCTGTTAAGATTCCACCAGTCACTACCGTCGTCCGACTCCATTCATCTCTGTCCACATGTCATGGTCAACGGCTGGGATGGCAACCAGCGGCCTGGTCCACACCAAGCTGTCGACATCAAGTAGCACCAAGTATTGTACTTATATATTTCCTACGGATTCGTCTGAGCGAGGAGAGTTTCAACCCCTATATGTGGTGTACCACCACCGCAATCGGTTGCCAAATATGAGAAGTGGGAAGTGTGCCTCTCGACCCCGTCTACCGCGGCTCCTATGCTGCAAGTGTGATCCGAGTCTCAAAATAAAGAATAGGTTTATTATAGCGCCCCTAAGGAACTGTACGTCTACTTTTAACTCAGGAAAAAAACCTGAAACAAACATCCATTTTGGTTGAAATTTGACTTCATTTTTGGGTTGTCTATTTAGTCAATTGAGCGCGAATTGAGAGTTTTGTTTTTATTTAAAAAAACCTGAGTTGGAAGGAAAAATAGTCGCAAAAGTTTTTAAAAAAAACAACGATATGTACAGTATAAAAACTGAAGTATTCATTTCGGTAGCTTTTGGGGCATGAATAATACAGACATCACGGAAACTGAAGAAATTTGATATAGGCCTGCCCTTGAAAGTATTTTTCAGTTGGGTATATTTGGGAGTTTTCTAGTTGTTGGCTGTCAGGCTATCTAGGCAGCTGTAAAGGGGCGGTCGAATCGTTCCTTCGTGTTTTTCGTGAGGCTTGCCATAATTGTCCTGATTAGGAGCTGAAAAATATGAATACATATGAGTAAGAAACATTCAATCGTAAGTCACAATCAAGGCTGTCAAAATAATACTGAATCATGTATCATATTGTTCTTGTGAATGTGACATTACAGGAGTAGTGGTGGACTGTTTACTATGATCTAAAATAGCTTTATATATGCTTAATTTGGTATTAATATAGACTTACGCGCAACTACTATGCAGGGTTTTATCGAATAGGGTGTTATTATTAGTTTCCTAAGGGATATTTAATGTCAGTAGACATACCTGATGGAAACGTGAAAGAGAGGGAAGAAAGAATATCACTATCTATAGGTCAGTATAGGTCAGTATATTTTAAGGTGATAGGCAATGCCTTTGAAAACCATATTGTAAACTGTACATGCAGTACCTAACTTTAGATAAACATTGTACTAAACTGATGTCAGTAATATATATATATGCTTAACAGAATATTTTTCATTGGAAATGCCGGACAGAAACTTAAGAACATCCAGTTGTAGATGATATCGGTAAAATGAAATGAAATTCATCCGCATTAGCGGTAGGTGTAGGCAAGACGTTAGTTTCGTACCACAGACCTGTTCCGTCCAGACAAGCGGTATTCTCCAAGCAAATATACATCAAGTATTTGATTCAACGTCTCCGTGGTATCCGCCGTCATTGCGTCCTCGGGAAGCCTGTTCCAGGGACCGACGACTCGCTGCGAAGAACCGACTCTGCTACCGTCCAGGCGGCATCGGGATCATCTAAGTTTTAGAGAGTTCCCACGGAGGTTTGTTGTTGTGGCCAGGGTGAAGAAATCATCGAGGTTTAGGGCACAGTCCCGATTCCTTAGTATCCGATACGCCTTTATGAGATCTCCTTGAATCTGCCTGTACTCAAGAGGACATAATTTAAGTTCACTAAGTCGGCAGTCCTGAAGCCTTTCTCAACTTTTGTCGCTCTCATCTGAACTCTTTCTAGCAACTTATAGTCTTTTTAGCCACCGGCGCCACGCTTGGATTCCATATTCCAGATGCGAACGAATGAACGCTCCGTATACTTTTCCAAATAACTCTTTGTAGATGTCTACGAAAGTTCGTTTAATGGCAGACAGAACACTGGTTACTCAATTCAATTATTCAATTATTTTATTAAAGACCCGTCGGGGTCCCATCAAAGCAAGTAAAAATAAATTTACATGCAAATTTTAGACGATGTAGGCAAAATCTGCACAATGTGCAATGCATACTTTTTGAGATTAGAAGTCCGTTAAGCAAAATGAAAATGAAAAAATGAAAAAAAACGAGGGGTGAAAAAAAACTCCAAAGCAAGATTTAAAAATGATTGTAGTAATTTAACAGGAGAAAAAAAACCCCTCGGAAAAATAGCATCAGAAAAAAACAGGGAGGACTGGCCTGCATGTGGTGGTACAAAATGGAATGTAGTCCGACATCAACATGGCCGAAATAAATGTCAGCTGTATATGGCATTGTGTAACGGATTTCATAAAATGGTACGTAGGCGGGT